TATCCATCCCTTTAACTCTGTCTTCACACTTCCAAACTGATGGCAAGAAGGCCAGGAGCGCTTTGACGCGATGCGCTTGTACCGGATTAAGCACACGACCCACCAATGTTTTTTCAAATTGTTTGATGATGTCTGAGTCGTCGAAAGCCGGCATCTTGATGGGAGAGAGTCGCTTCCTTCCTTAACTTGGAGCCACCATTTTAGCAAAGAAAGCATTGGCGAGGAGATCAAGTCTGGGAAAAGAGATTAGGCTTCTCTGTTTTCGAAGAAAGAGGAAATTTGAGGACACTGTGAGGACAGAAGTAAGAGCCCAATCTCCCTTTATGTAATCGTTTGGAAGGAAATAATTGATTCATCTTTGATCCTCGAATCACTCCTCTCATCAATCCTCCTTGATTGAAATCACTGGGAATCACCTCAATCACGGAATGAGAGGGATTGGTGTGATTAAACACCAAATTGGAAAGCCAATCTTTCGAGTTCCCCTGATTGATCTGTGATCCCGATAATCCAGTAAATCCTGATATTCTCCAATCCTCCGCTCCCAAATCTCGTGAATTTGATTCCATTGAAATCAAATCCTTACTCTCTGACATGATGAGAATGGAATCAGATCGATTCCGTCGAGGAACGAGGCGATAACCACTGTCCCATAAAAGGCGTTCACAGGTGGATCCTATGGTAGAGATCCAGTATAGATTCGCAGCGGATTTGTGCTCGGAAACCTTTCCCTGCACACAACATCCGACGAAAAACATCCAGAATACGATTACAACACTCCAGAGAAGTGTCTGGTTCCGACGAGAGGCGACTTGTTCAAAGCCGGCGTCGGAGAGCTGCCGGAGCCAAGAAGATCCGATGAGATTGACGACCATTATTCAAAAAATTGAACCGTTACAATCGCCCATCGAGAGAGAGAATGCCACTAGTAGAAAGGAAATACATGATCGTCGATCTTTTTTAAAAGTACATTATAAAGCTTTAACATACGGAAATAATCAAGGCTTCAATTTTTTTATAAAAATTATGATATCTTGGCTCGTGGATATTATAAATTAAATATAAGCCCCTGTATATATATCTTTCTCAAATAGCAATCAATAAAATGTTTTATTTATCAGTAGTATGAGAAAATTCTCGTTATTATTCAGTAGATTAAAAAAACATA